CGTAGGCCTGGGATATGAAACTGATTTGAAAAGTTGCTGTGTTTCTAAGTTTAACACAGACATGTTCATGGATGAAGAAGCCAAGGACGAATCTACACACAACCTTCTCCTCTCTGCAAAACTCAATGCTCTCTAAGTTATAGGTAACTGGAACAATAAGAGCGTGCTTTGTGAGAGCAGGGGCTTGTGGTTTTATACTACAAAACCTGGATTGCCCTATAACAATCCCACGAGGAATACAAGACCGAATCCTTGTATAAGTATGAGTTCTATTCTTAAGCTTATCAACTCGGAGTTTCAATCCTAACCAAAGTTGAATTAACTCTCATAAACATATTAAGACTTCTTTATAGCAATCTGAGACAACAAGGATTATTACCAAACCGTATGAATCATACTCATACTCTAACACCCAGAACTTGGTGAGGATCTTGTGGTTGATAAATTCCGGAGCTTGTGAGGACTTACCGTGTCGAATCGGGTTTCGTTGAGCTTCTGGATTTGGATCGGAGAATGGGAAGTGGGGTTTTCTGCAGGGGATGGAGTCCTCCATTGATGAGCAGGTGAGCTTCTGCGGAGGTTTTGGATTTTGTGTGAAGCAAGGAAGACTTTGAAGGCAAGGAAGAAGAAAGAGTGGAAAAAAGTGTGTGCGTAGGGGAAGGGAATTCAAAAAGTGGAGTGTCGATAGTTATGACCGTTTGGTTGGAATGACGCTATTGACTTTATGTTTTGTTTTGATTTAGGGGATTTTGCGGAGTGGCGATCTTATGATTCTTATCTGTTGGGGCTTGGAGGTCATTTGACAAAAGAATAAAACAAAAGCAATGCAACATATAGCTCGTTGAGCACCTAAGCAAATAGCAAAGCAAACTATACGAGTCATGAACATACAAATTTGATGATACACATCTAGGAAGATTTTTTCTCATATGTTTTTCAAGAGTTTTATTTATTTTTATTTTTTGTTAGTGTACGGGACAATGAAAGATAAGCAATTTTTTCACATTCTATTTTTTCTTCAACACTCATCATGTTATTTCTAGTCGTACGCTTGAATAAATTTAAAAATAATCAATAGACAAAAACAAATCATTAACTGATGAAACTGGAATTTTTGCATGAATATGTGAACCAAAATCATTTAACATTAAAATTGAATTGTTATTTAGTTTAATTGGTTGCTTTTTTAGACGTGAAAGTAACAATATTGAGACGAAAATTTAAATTCTTCAAGGACAAAGATCTTCTTAAAGGTCACGCAGTGAAGAACCAAAAGGTGGCTGTTCAAAATAATAGCTCTTGTAATATCCATGACATAGGTTTAATTTTTCAACATGAAATTATTGCTCACTGTTTAAAGCTTCTTTTTATGCCACACCTTGCACACCTTAAAGCTGAAAAAAAAAAATTATGCAGAGAATTATTGCCGGATCGATGTTTATTCTTACCCATTGTCTATTCTGTTTTTTCGTTTCATTTTTCTGAAGACTCTCCGGGACAAAGCTCTTGAGTTCAGATTCTTGCTTCAGAAAGCATTCTCAAGTTCAAATAGATAACCACAGGTTGCTTTTGCTTTTCCATTTTTTTTGTTTCATTTGACATGCATGTTAAGATATTATGTTCTTACCTGAGAGGTTGTCTGCAGGAGCCAGTTAGGTCTTTATTTTGTGATTCACATGAGTCAATGCAACATATTCTGATCTAGTTGAGTCATCTAAGAGAACTGTGGCTGTCATAAAAATTTGTTGTCTACCTACTACTTGGTCTGTGGTTTAGCTTCAACCTTGTTGTAATATGATAAGTACTTTATACATTATTATGATTTGTTAATATTTCCATTTGTATATGCTAACATTTATCGCATCGTGCTATTTTTCTTGTTACAGGCTTTACTTGAGAAGAACCCGTCTGTCGTTCAAGCAACATATAATATGTGCAAACTCCATTTATCAAACTATTATATTTATTTTATAACACAATTTGGCTCTCCTTTGTTGTGCATAATCTATCATTTTCGGCATGATAAGTGTTGAATGTTTTTATGTATATTTCATATCTGAAACCATTACACAATGCAACATATATGGGAGAATCGAAAGCAACAAAATGATGACCTCCAACATAATGATGACACATCCAATCCCACTAATCTTAATCTATTATCTATATGGGAGAACCGAAAGCAACAAAATGATGACCTCCAACATAATGATGACACATCCAATACTCCCCCTCAAGCTGGATCCAAAAGGTTGATAGATCCAAGCTTGCCAAGAAGAAGCTGAAACTGATGAGAGGCCAATGATTTTGTGAATAGGTCCGCAAGTTGATCCGAGCTCCTTACAAAATGCGTTTGGATAACCTGAGATTGAACTTGTGTACGAACATAGTGACAATCGACTTCAATGTGCTTGGTTCTCTCATGAAAAACTGGGTTGGAAGCAATGTGCATTGCAGCTTGATTGTCACAGAAAAGGGACATGGATTGATGATTGAAAACACCTAAGTCACACAGTAAACCTTTGAGCCAGATTAGTTCACACGCAGTAGATGCCATTGCCCGATATTCTGCCTCAGCACTGGATCTTGCAACGACAGTTTGTTTTTTGCTTTTCCATGAGACAAGGTTGCCTCCCACAAACGTGCAAAATCTCGTTGTAGACTTACGATCAATAGAATTGCCAGCCCAATCTGCATCACAATAACCTGTAATCTGAGTGCTTGCATTTTTCTTCATGATTATACCACGTCCCACAGAACCTTTTAGATACCGAAGTATCCTTTTGACTAGGTTAAAGTGCTCCATCGTGGGAGAGTGCATAAATTGGCTAACAATACTGACAGCATAGGTAATGTCGGGCCTTGTGATGGTCAGGTATATCAACTTACCAACCAATCGCTGATAATAACTTATGTTTGGAAGAGATTGACCCTCTAAGTTGACCTTAAGTTTAATGTCAAGAGGTGTAGGGACCGGTTTAGCATCACTCATGTTTGCTTCCTTAAGGAGATCCAGAACATATTTGCGCTGGTTAAGGAAGAAGCCCTTGTGAGATGTAGCCATTTCGATGCCAAGGAAGTATCTCAGAACACCAAGATCTTTTATTGCAAAGCGTTGCTGAAGGGAGTGCTTGAGTTCTTTGATTTCTTCAGGGTTATCTCCGGTGATAATCAAGTCATCAACATACACAAGAACAACCAATGTACCAGCGGTGCCTGAGCGTACAAATAAAGAGGAGTCCGCATTGCTTCTTCCAAAACCAACACTGATAAGGACTGAACTGAGCTTAGCATACCAGGCTCTCGGTGATTGTTTAAGACCATAAATTGATTTGTGCAGTTTACACACAACATCCTGTTTATGACTTTGAGAGTGACCCGGTGGTAATCTCATGTAGACGTCTTCTTCAAGCTCACCATGTAAGAAGGCGTTTTTTACATCCATTTGATACATAAGCCATCCTTTGTTGACAGCCACAGACAAGAGTACGCGCACTGTGTTCATCTTTGCAACGGGGGCAAAGGTTTCCTTGTAATCCACATCAAATGTTTGAGTGAAGCCACGGGCCACTAATCGTGCCTTGTGTCTTTCAATAGACCCATCCGAGTTGAATTTAATCTTGTATATCCACCTGCAGCCTACTATCTTCTTTCCTTTGGGCAGTGGCACAATGCTCCAGGTTTTATGTTGATCTAGTTCATGCAGTTCATCCTGTATTGCTTGCTGCCACACTTGGGATTGGTTAGCTTCTTGAAATGATTGAGGCTCTTCATGCGCAGATATATTACTCAAATAGGCAGTGTAATTATGTGACAACTTTTGATAAGAACAGTAGTTGGATAAGGGGTGCTTGAGCTTGTACGTAACAAAGTCTTGCAGTCTTGCTGGTGGGTGCCTCTCACGAGTTGGATTTCGTCGAGGTATGGTAGGAAGAGACTCTTCTGAAGGTTCTTCAGGACCAATACTACGTAGAGTTTCATCTTCTACAGGCATGTTGCTGTTGTCATATGAATCCGGTTGATTTGGAGCCACAAGATCCATTGTGTGAGTTTGATCACCCGCATTGTTGAGTATCTCAGTCCTTGGCAGTGGAAACATGTCCAAGATAATCTCCCCCTGACTTGTACTATCCAGAGACTTACTGTAATAAGAGTTAGTTTCATGAAATTGAACATCCTTTGAAACAATTAATCTCTTAAGTTGTGGATTATAACACTTATACCCTTTTTGTGTAGACGAGTAGCCAAGGAAAATGCATTTAGTTGCCCTAGGATCAAGTTTGTCTCGATGTAATGATTGAACATGAACAAAACAGATGCATCCAAAGACTTTAAGGTGAGACAAGTCCACCTTTCTGTTCTTGACTATCTCCATTGGGGATTTGAACCCCAAAACCCTACTAGGTAATTTGTTGATCAGGTAAGCTGCTGTCATGACGCTTTGAGACCAAAAACGTTTTGGTACATTCATTTGTAACATCAATGCCCTAGTTTTTTCAAGGAGATCTCGGTTTTTTCTCTCGGCAACACCATTTTGTTGGGGTGTGCCAACACAGCTAGTTTGATGTATGATGCCATTGTTGCTCAAATATTGAGTCATGACTTGGGACATGTATTCTGTGCCATTATCAGACCTTAGGGTTTTGATTTGAGAAGAAAAATGATTTTTGACAAGGTTGTGAAAGTCCTTAAACACTTCCATCACCTCATTTTTTGATTTTAACAAATATAACCAGGTGGCTCTTGAATAATCATCAACAAAAGTTATGAAATATTTATAACCATCAAAAGATTCATTTGTTGGTCCCCATATATCAGAGTGTACAAGCTCAAAAAGATGAGAAACTCTAGACATCGAAGACCCTAGAGGTAGTCTTGTTGCCTTTGACAAATGACAAGTTTCATAGTGGGTTGATTCTTTGCCTAAGTCAGGAAATAAGGTGGATAAGATAGGTTGAGATGGATGAGCTAGTCGTTGGTGCCACAAGGTGGAAGCTTAAATGGAGGTATGGATGGACTTTGACTTGGCATGGAACCCACAGGAAGAGCTTTTTGATATGTAATAGAGACCATCAAGGTAAAACCCCTCACCAATCGTCCTCTTGGTTATACAATCCTGAAAAATGACAATTTTTGGTGAAAAAATGGCCAAACAATTTAAGGAATTTGTGATTCTTCCCACTAAGAGAAGTTGAAATGGAAATGATGGGACATATAGGGCCATAGACTCTATTTGATCAGATATCAGGTGGATTTTTCCCTTTCCTACAATCCTAGCACCTTCACCATTAGCAACAGATACATGTGAAGGATTATGTAGTTTCTCAAATCTATGTAACTTTGACATTTGATTAGTCATATGGTCTGTGGCACCAGAATCTACAACCCAAAAATCATGTAACTCATTTATTTTAAGAGCAGTTTGGAAAGCAGTTACGATACCTTTCAAGTCTGTCTGAGGTACATAATCAGCATCAGCTAAAAAACCTGCAAATTTGCCCATCAATGCAGTAGTACTTCCATCTTCATGATCAACCGATCCATCCTCTTTTCCCTTCTTTTTTTGGAGATACGCTGCGAACTCATTTAAAAGGATGGCAGGATTTGCAGTGAACTGTTGATAGGTATCAACATTGTTGATAGATGAAGATGTTGCAGTGTTAGCACGAGGGTGTGCTCGACTTGTCTTTGGTGCGGATTTATCCTTCATGAAGTCAGGTTTGAGTTCTGGATGTAGGGTCCAGCACTTGTCTCTCACATGCCCGATGTTGTCACAATGTAGGCACTTTAAATGAGGGTTTTTTCCTTTATATCTTTTTTCATTTGTCAGGTAAGCCCTAGCTTCTGTCACGTTGGTTTTTATACCATTGTTCATGACTTTTCTCCTTACTTCCTTACGTTGGATAGTTGCACAGATACTAGTGAAGGATGGTAGCTCCGAGTTCATGAGAATGTGACTTCTCAAATCCTCATATTCTGAGCTCAAGCTAGACAATAATTGAAAAATTTTATCTTCTTCAGTTCTTTTAAGGAGCACAAAGAGATCAGTTGTGTGAGGTCTGTACACATCTAACTCATTCCACATGCTTCTCAAAGAACCAAGATGTTGAACAAAGCTTTTACCTTCTTGCTGTATGTTGGAGATATCCTTCTTGAGTTGAAAGATGCGAGCTGCATTGTTTTGATTTCCATACATCTCCTTCACGGTGGTCCAAAGAATGAGAGACGACTCGGAATAGCTGAAGATTTCAGCAATATTCCTTTCCATAGAATTTAACAACCATGACATGACCAGTTGATCTTTACATAGCCACCCTCCATATTCTGGAAAAGAAGCATCTGGTGCAGGTTGACTGCCATTGATGAAACCGAGTTTGGATCTTCCACCGAGAGCAAGACTAACAGCCCTTGCCCATGGCAAATAATTAAACTCATTCAATAATACTGAACTGAGTCGTTGGTTTGGATTGATATCCATTTCAGAAGCGCTTCCAGATGAAGAAGCAATGATACTTCCATCTGCCATTGTTTTTGAAAAATAAACACAGCAGATTCGATATACAGAACTGGCTCAGGATGATGCCCGCTCTGATACCATGTTGAATGTTTTTATGTATATTTCATATCTGAAACCATTACACAATGCAACATATATGGGAGAATCGAAAGCAACATAATGATGACCTCCAACATAATGATGACACATCCAATCCCACTAATCTTAATCTATTATCTATATGGGAGAACCGAAAGCAACAAAATGATGACCTCCAACATAATGATGACCTCCAACATAATGATGACACATCCAATAATAAGAATTGCCAATATGTGAAAGGTTTCCTATGCTGAGTGTATTACATTTTGTGTTTGAAGTTTTTAATAACCCGTTTAAATTCTCGTAAAGTGTGTTTAGCTTATAACTATACAATTAGCTAAGATAGAGTTCGATTTTATCAAATCAAACTTTAAGGAAATGCTTCATATTTCCTCTATTTCATATAATTGTCAGGGTTCCCCAAACTTCAGAAGTTCCACTACACCAATTACTATAATTAGTCAGATTATGCTCGTACTCAGTTTTTGTTAAGAGTGTGAGAGTGTTAATCAAGAGTAATGGATTGAGCTCAACCTTGCCCAAGCTTATCTGAAAACACAAAGCATTGAGCTTGAGCTTAAACCGGCTCAATTGTTAACCTAAATCTTGGCACACCAGCTTTGGGTCTCCTGATTTGTAGTGAAGTTTATGCTTAGTTCTGATTGAGATCAAGCCAGTCCCAATAGGTGATGGTTTACGCGTATTAGGTGGGAAGTTCAGAGTAGTCCAATCGGTTAGAAATATAGTTGTCTTCAACAAAAATTTAAAACTTCTGTTCTGTAGGTAAATCTGGACGAACTAAGAAGGTTGGGTCTTGTCTTGTTGATTTGAGGATAGCCAAGATGAAGCCAGACTTCAAATTGCCCTAGGATGTCGGCGCAAATCTTTCCTGCTTGATTTCATATAAACCGTAGCCTGATTAAGCATAAAAATAGCTTTTGGGCTAGAATGGTCTAATTGACTGTCCTAGTTTGTCTCAGCTGTTCAATATGAAATATACCAGACAATAGTTTTCTGACATTTAAATTCCATTAGGCACTAAATTAAATTAGTTTGTTATCTAAAGGGGCCGGCAAAGAACCATGAAACGCATTTGTAAATTATACTTGTAAAAATCTATGTTGCCATATGTTTACTTTAAGTATACTCTGGGGCAGTTCTGCTATAAATCATTTCGTGCTCCGACAACTTCTCTCGCATGAATTTTAGAAATTTGTTCTATTATGTTCAACTTTTCATTATGCACGCATTTCCATGCGGATTACTTGGTCTAATTAAGACCTGTCATGTTGTATCTTGTAGAGTAGCTACTTTCAGGAACAAATTGATAGACAAATGGCAGAGGGAGACAGAGGTGACCACAGGTGTTGCTGCTATTAAAAGCAAACTGCATGCTATTAATCATGTCTGGCTCTATACTTGAAATTTGAACTTGTAACCATGCCTTTTCCTATGTCGGACTTGTGCCATGAGTTGCCAGATATTCACCAGGAAGTCATTTTTCCTTTTCCAATTGCAGAATATTAGTGAACAAGTTGCTTCTTATATGAGAGATCCAAGCAGAATGATTAGGCAGATGCAAATGAGGAAATCAGCAGTTGCTGTATTTGGCACTGTAGGACACTAAGTCTTACATCTAAATTGAAAAAATGAAAATTTCAGAGTTCCCAAGGTCTCATGTGCATGCTCAAATACATTTGTGCTTCATATTTGTTAACATCATAACCATATGGGGTTTTCTTAAGTTTTGTACATTTGGTAATTTAAACACGATTTATGGATGTGCAGGTTGAATATAATTGTGGTTAACTATAATCCTATACTAATCTGTAAATTCATTGGAATTTACAACTTTCTCATCTACTTTAGTATGTTTCTTCTTCTTCGCCATCTCTCTGCCTTCCTTCGGCTGGGGCCGTCTTCATTTTTGCTTCTCTGTCTCATGAAATTATAACTGCACATTATCTCATTCCATTTAATTGTTGGCCTTTTCCCTTTCATGGTTGAGCCTTTAATTTGGGTTGAAAATTGAAAGGCATTCAAGGAGTCGCATTGAGATTCTGGTAAAAGCTAGAAGCCAGTTCAAGGAGCGTAGGTATTAAAAAAGTTATTTGGTCAATTTCTTTGTGCATGAAAGTTGTTGAATTGTTGGTTTTCTGTGATGGATTTCTCTTGAATTTTGATTTCACATATAGAACAATGATGGGTTGGTTTCCTTTTTCCTTTTTTTCTTTGTTGGAAATTTCAATTGCCATATTTTAATTTAATTTTATCCATCGGTGATTTCTGATTCCTATAAAATTGAACCGTTTCCTGCATTTTATTTGTTTCTATCGTTTTCTGGGTTTGTCTGCTATGGCTATTATGATTTGGTCCGGCTAATGGACTCTCTGAAAATGTGTTTTGGCTTTTTCTTTAATACAAAAAACTAAAAGCTGATTTTGTTTGCTGACGATTTGTTATGAGGTATTGCTCTAACATGGAGATAATGGCGCTGATTCTATTTGTTAAGAGGTAATTCTCCTTCTCTTTGTCTGAAAAACATACAAACAACATAAAACTTATGTTTTTGAAATGAATACATACTGACCTGGAAGTGTTTGTATGGAGTATAATTCATTGCAATACAACAACACAACATACCTGCGTCTTCTTCATCAGAGTCCATGATGAGGCGATTAAACCCTCTCGGCCTATAGAAATCAAGGTGATCAAAATTTTCAATAGAGAAACCAAGGAAGTAAATTCCTGCTATATACTCGAATATCGACAAATCTCCACCAATGACAAATGGATCTGATTTGGTGTTGTGTTCATATTGTTTTGGTGCTCTTGCACAAGCTCGACACCAAACTCCTTGAGCTGAAACTGACTAGGACTCGTGTACTGAAACAAGCACTTCCATCTCCACATTGTAATATTGTTTCATTATCCATCTTCCAATGCCTCAACCATATCATATCTTCTCCCTCTCCTGGAATTCCATGGAACTCTGGGCCATAGATCCACTTCAGATCATTACTCTTGTTACTCATTTTGGTTTCGAGCATTTTACATAATCTATTGAATTGAAATTTGAAACTTATGTAGAAAATGAACTGTGTTTTGCTAGAAGGTGGTTTTGTATCGATTTGTTTTCTGTATATAACACGGATCTCGTTAAGGGTTGGTAATAGTTGCATGATTCAATGTGCTTACTACTGTTGGAAGTTCTTTAACCAAATATAGAGTACACATGAGTATACTAGAGGGTTTTCAGTTAAACTGGCCGAGAATTTTCCCAAACGGTGAACCAAATTATCTTAAGCTATAGAAATGAACTTGAATTTGACTGGTTACGCAGGTCTGGCTCTTTCTTTGCTTGCATTCTGTATCTTTATCTTTTTAGATGATGTGGATTATAGGCAAGTTACCTAGACTTGTGCTTTATTAGGGTACGAAAAAACAGTGGTCAGGCCTTAAGAGAGATTTGTTTGAATCAGATATGGCAGTTGAGTATCTTATATTTCTGAAGGAATCCAATTTATATGATTAGTGGATGGGATTTTGGGAATATAAAGAACAAGGTTCCCTTGTATGTCCGGGACAGCATTGCATCCTTGCAATGCCTAATCTTTATGGTCTTTCCCGGCACTTAAAACACTACGTTGAGATTGGCGTCTAGTGTGAAACAAATAGTTGCATTCTTGGGTATTCAAAGTTTTGGCTTCATGAAAGTGTAGAAAGTAATTTATCAAAATAGGCTTCTAAGTAGAACCAGGGACTTATTTTCTGTAGTCTAGTTCATTATGAATATCACTATATACGGAACATTTGTATGTTTCCTCTTATTCAACAACAATTGACATTCAAAAGGTCAACCTTTCCACTTAGATTATGTACACAAATTCAGATTATCCTCTATTAATTAACTTTCAAAGAGAAATGTTAGACTCTTCAAAAAATGAGACTTTCTATGATCTCTCTGTCATATCATATTTTTTTCATAATGTTTTATAATGCTAACATGATAAATTGACGTTAAACTGTGAGTATAGAGAGTCCATGCAAAATTTCACTTTGAAAGAATCCTCTTAGCATTTCTCACATTTGAAATTGTCCTACTTCCAACACATCAAATAACTTCTCTTTACTTGGCCACCAACTTCTCAACTTGGCCTACCATAAAATTAGTAACAGCCCAAATTAAAAATTAAAAATAAAAAAAAAAGAAGGAAAAAACAGAAGGGTCGGCCTTCAATTACCAAAACCCTATCCTAAAAATGTCCACTACCAAACACATTGTCACCC